GCAAGACAGGTACTCGGACGGTGTCTGACTCCTTGATAGGCGTCGTTGTATGTACCGACACCGCAGACACTGGTTGTGAGGGTATCGGTGCACCGTCGATGGTTGGTTCTGTGCGCACAGGAGACACATGACGTGTCTGTGCAGAAGCTGCCGCGGAGGCTGCTCCTGGAGATGTACGTCGTTGTTGTCCTGCTGAAGCTTGTGGTGCTTCGGCGGACGCTGCCGTCGGCCTGTGCAGGTCGGCTGCAGGTCGAAGGTGAATGTTGGTGTCGTTAGTGTGGTCGATCAGCTGATTGGTCCAGCTCGTCATGTCTTCTTGTATTTGACCCACCTTTTGGCGTGTATACTCATCAGTATCCCGAGACCGTTGGGAATACCGATCAAGTCGATGCTCGCATGCTCGGAGACGGGCGCTTTGTGCCTCCACCTCGCTTTCCAGACGTGCGAGATAACTCTCAACACGTACCTTCTCAGTATCTCTTTCATGAATAACCTGGGAGAGCTCTAACTGCGTGTGGTCCGCCGCCTTCTCAACCTCCTGCAACCTGTCAGTGAGGCGGGCGAAATCGTAAACCGTGGGAGGAGAATCCAGCTGGCCAGTCTGGGCTCGTCCGACACGCAACTCTGCCAGGGCGTCCTGTACACCAGGAAAACGCTGCTCTATGTCAGAGATCCGGTTAGCGAGTGGCTGCACGACAGCGTTGGTCGCATCAAGCCTTTGAGTGATGACTCTCTCAGTACGCTGCAACATGTCGATCAGGTTCGACGAGTTTGTGTGTGCTTCGGTACGAAGCGTCGCCGTAGTGTGGTCTAGGTAAGATCGAAGATCATTGATCTGAGACTGAACGTCGCCGAGGTCTGTGGCCTCGGTTGGAGTTGGTCGGTTGCGGAGCTGGTCGTGGATCTCGTCATGTAAAATCCTGGCCGCAGAAATGCCTGTGTCGCGTACGATCACAAGTTGTTGCTCCATCTGCGCGAGATAGTTGCGCAGGTTCTCGACCATCGCCGTTCGTTCACCTGAGTGTGACACCTCACGATCAACCTGGTACTGCAGTTCTCCTATGATGCGTCGATCTTCGGCGATCCTGGAATCGATGATCCCTAAGGCGCCGTCAAGATCGCGGCGTATGGCTGCAGTATCAGTGGCGTTCGTCTGAACGCTCTGTAGTAGTCCAGAGTATTGGCTGGACACGAAGGTTTCAACCTGGTCTCTGAGCTCAGCTATGTCACCTGCGGCGGACGTCTCCGCCAGCTGGTCGTCTGAGATGGAGAGGTGGGGAGCGTCAGCTTCCCTGTGTCCCCTGTCGCGGGGAGTGCATGGCCTCTGAGAGGCAGTACGCGGGCTCGACCTGCTCTCGCCGTATGGGCCTGGGGCTCCACGGCGGTTGCGCACGGACGAGCTGCGACTCGGACCATGTGTGTGTGGTGTCTCATCCGATGATACCTTGGGGTGCCGCGTCTGTGGTTGTGCCGACACTGGTCTACTAAGTTCCTCGAAGGTAGCGACGTGCTCCGCCACAGGGACGGTCGCAGGGCTGGGGGTCCCAGCACCTGAGGTCCATCGGCGGTTAGCGCGAAAGCGCCCTGGAGTATCGAGACCGGCAAGGCTTTCGCCTGACGCGGTTGGGATTGCTCCCGACGGGGAAGGGGAGGGAGGATCGAAGGTCGGCGTGTGAAACTCCTTCCTTCCTGTTCCTACTCCTTCTCCTGTCCCCCCGCGGGCGGCGCTGCGGCGAAGTTCAGCAGCTAGACGCGCCTCGGGTCCTCGGGAGCTGGGGGGGGTATCGGGGACACCAACACAGTCCGCACTAATGCTCTCCAACTCGTCACCGAGCCGTCGCACCGTGGGAGAGCTTGGACGCGAAGCCCCAATGGAACCCTTACGGCGCATGCGCCGAAGTGGCTCCATCAGGCACGCATGCAAGGTCACCGCGGGCGAGTCGGTGAAGGTGAGCGTTAAAGGGCTGATAACCTGTGTATGGGGTTGAAGTACAAGGGTACAGAACCCCTGGTCCGTTGGTAGAGAGATGGAGGGATAGATGGATATCTTTCCCTCCAACGCGATCAAGGTACGATCGCTCCAACTCAGTACCTGAACCCAAACGGCCAGGTGCGGGAGAGGTAAGGATAAGGAGTATATATGAGGGTATTACACGGGTTCCATACACAGGACCGCTTGAGCGGTGCAGCACACATGCGGGACAAGAAGATCAAGGCCGCCGATTGGTTGGAGCACGAGGACATGCTGCTCGTTCAAGCTGCGGGCTTGTTCAAAGCCAAGTGCGCCGACATTGCAGAGCAGCAGGTTTTCCAGGCCACGGTGTCGTTCGAGGTGCTGCCCAGGGAAATCGAGGGCTTCCCACAGAAGGTGCTCAATCACTCGACCTACTACGTCGAGTCTTTTGGACGTACCTCCCTTGAACAATGCTGGAACTATGCCGCTCGGAGTCTCGACGCCTCGTGGTTGCCTGGCACGCCGATCCCGTACGCCGAGGTCCTGTTGAGCATGTTCCCTTCCTTCGTGGCAAAAGTCCAGGCGATGGGATACAAGAGCGTCGAGCACATCGCCGGCACGTGAAAATTGACAGTGACATGGTGAGTTAACGGGGTCTGACTTCAACATGCCCCTCTCCGACCCCTGCGCCTGAGGGCCGCTTCAGACGGCCGTGAGCTGCCCAGCACCAGAGCGCGACTGTCGCCTGCTGGACGCGGCTAGATTTCCAGGTTTCTGGCCCGCGGCCTGGCCCCTGTGGGCCTTTCGTTGTGGGGCGTTCGTGGCGGTCCAGTGCCTGTGCTCCCCTCTTGCGGCCTCCCTCTCTCCCCTTCTTCTTTCTTCCTCCGTTGCGTCTCCCCTCTCGGGGGGGGTGCTATGGCGCTGGACCCTCGGTTTCTCGGTTTCGGGGGCTCTGGGGACCCTCGTCGCCGCTTCTCTTGCCTGCCTCGTCTCTCACCCTGCTTCCGTGTAGGCTTCGACCCCCTTGCCTGAGGAACGAACGAACGAGGAGGAGGGTGAGGAGGAGGAGGAGGAGGAGGAGGAGGAGGAGGAGGAGGCGGAGGAGAAGGAGCCGAACGGGGTGGAAATCCCTTCACCCTTACGGCTTTGCACCCTTACATTCCTGCACCCTTCCCCACTTGCTCCTGTACACCCTTACTCCCCAACGCCCTCACACCTTTTATCCTCCTGGGGCGGTGAGGGGCCAGGGAGCAAGGGAGCAAGGGAACCGTGGTGCGCCCTCAGTGGCAAGGGCGCAAGGGAGCAAGGGAGCAGGGCTGCGCCCTCAGCGGCAAGGGAGCAGGGCTGCGCCCTTAGCGGCAAGGGAGCAAGGGAGCAGGGCTGCGCCCGCAGCGGCAATGGGCGCAAGGGAGCAAGGAAGCAGGGCTGCACACTTAGCTAAGGGAGCACGGGCGCAAGGGAGCAGGCAGAAACAAATCAGACCCGGATTCCCCCTACAATGTGTTTTTGACTGCCCTGTTTAGCCCGAAGTCCATGTGGGAAACACAGCTAGGGAGAAGTGCAACTCCAGAAATGAGCCAAAGTGGGCAGCGTGCTGGGGGGCATATCGCGCGCGTACCGCCTGTAACAAGCCAGCGGTGCTGACTCCCCCGCGCGCGATCCCGTAACCACCGCGACGCCTTGGGCCACACCTGCCGCGGCGCCCTTCGCGACTGCGACTTCCGGGGCTCGCGCGAGTCGCGATGACATACAGTCGGACCTGGGCCAGAAGAGCATCCCTCAAGAACATGAGACCATCCGTCGGCCAAAACAAACAAAACATCCAAGGACACCCTCCCCAGGAGGCACAACCCAACCCAACAAACACGAATAACACGAGGGCGCCAGCCCCGAACCGACCTCGATCTTATACCTCGGTCCGACCGTAGCGACCTTCCGCGGCGGCTAACGCGGGCAGCCAGCGCAGCACGTCGCATTGGAAACGAGGGCGCTCACGGGCGACCTCACATGTGCGTGGGCTGCCATGGGTGCCCGTCGGGCCTCCGAAAACACCTCCAAAGGGAGAACGAGAGAAACAGAGAGAAACAGAGAGAGAGAGAGAGAGCGAGAGAGAGAGAGAGAAATATATATATATATATATATATATATATATAGCAGGGAGGAGGAGGAGCAGGAGCAGGAGGAGGAGGAGCAGGAGCAGGAGGAGGAGGAGGAGATGTGAGCAGACCTGAACCCCGCCAGGCGTCGGGCAGACGGTCCTCCGTCTGCCCGTCCGCCGGCCTCCGTGCGGCGCCCTCGCCTCGCGCCCTCCCCGCGCGGTCGATCGCCCCCCATTTGCGGCCGCATCCCCCTCCCCTCTCTCTCGTGGGCCCCCCTCTGTCCGTAGCAAAAGTAGGGAGCCCACAAAGGACGTACGCGCCCAGCTATGTACATGAACACGGCCCCTCGATCCGCGAGACTCGCCGCGTTAGATGAGCATTTGCGCAATGCGTACTCTCGAAACCAGCGTGGATTCACGTACATGTACGTCCTTCTTTCGCTCCTGAACAAGGGAGAACAACCATCAGCACAAACTTTTAGCGCTCCGCGCGGATTTCTTGGATCTGCGCTGGACACCCATCCCTGGCGCGCGGAGCGCGCCAGGGGCGGCGCCGGCGGGGGGGTCCATCGCGGATCCAAGGAATCCGCGCGGAGCGCCAATAGTTTATACTTATGGCGTTCTTTCTTCGAGTCTGGCACTCCTCCTGAGCCCCCCCCGTCCCCCTTCTCCTCTCGAGTCCCAGCCCTCTTCCGCAGGACAAGGGATGGCCGGCAGCGCGCGAGGGGGGAGGCCTTCTCAGAGGGCGGCGGGGCTTCTCTGAAGCCCTCCGGCCTCGTGACAAGCTGTCGGTGCCTTCGGGGCAGGCCTGGAACACTTCTCGGAAGGCCGGGTGACTGCCGAGCCTTCTGAGAGGGCCCACCCCCTCTCACTTCCCCCTCGGGCTCGCCGCCGAGATGGGGAGGGAGGGACGGGGGCGCCTGCTTCCTCTCTTCCCTCCCCCTCCGCCTTCTGGGTCGGACGCGTGCCTCTTGAGCTCCCGCCTTCTCAGCGCGCCGATGGCGCGCTCCACCTCGTCCAGGGCGTCGGTCGCGCCTGGCCGCGATCGGCAGGGATGGCGACGATTGTGACTGCATGCTCTGCTGCATGTGACCGATTCCCGAAGCCCTGAACTCAACCATGTCGTCATCTCTTGGGGACGCATCTTTTACGTCCGCTGCCTTCCGCCAGACTTCCGCCGGCTTTCGCCGTTGGAAGCGGCCTCGTTTTACTCTCGCCTTCTTCCGCGAACGTGCCGCCGCCTTCCGCCGAGGAAGAGATGGCAACTCCTTTGATCCTTGAAGGCAAGGCCCTTTGTGGAACGCCCCATGTGCAGGCAGCGCGAGGTGCAACGGCTGCCACTGGTGGGCCGCTCCGTGGTGAACAGGGCCGCTCTGTGGCGACGCTGGGTGCCCGGTTTCCTTCGAGAGAAAGAGGCGAGGGGGGAGGGGGGGCGAGGGCTGCATCGGGCGCGGCCTAACCGACCCCTAACTGGCCTACGTATGGGGCGAGGCGAGGGGGATGTTATGAAAGGGGATGGTCTGTTCGGGGTACGTGAGGCCGCCCCTGACTGGCGGGGGAGGCGGGACTTGCCCGTGCTCAAGGTCAGGGCCCCGTGGGCAGGGACCCTTTGGTTGAACCAGGACCCTGGAACTCCCGAGAAGGCTGCAGCCGCGGGTCGAGACCCCTTTCCATTCTGTGCTTCCTCCAGGCAGAGCTGCAGTGTTGGAGGAAACAAAAAACGGTATCAACGTAAACTTTCGACGGTCTGCGCGGATTTCTCGGATCCGCGCTGGGCCCGCCTCCCTGTCGCGCGGAGCGCGCCAAAGGCGGCGCCAGGGGGGGCCAAGAAATCCGCGCGGAGCGCCGACAGTTGATGTTTATGCCGTATTTTGTTCTTCGGCTCCGAGCAGAGTTGCAATGTCCTGGCTCACGGGGCCCTGGCCAGTGCGCGCTCGTGCCACCTGGACCCCAGCCCACATGTTTAGCACCCGGCCCCGCAAGAGGAGGAGGATGATGATGATGGTGCTGCTGATGCTGATGCTGATGCTGATGCTGATGATGATGCTGCTAATGTTAATGATGATGATGCTGATGCTGATGATGCTGATGCGGATGAGGAGGATGCTGCTGATGATGATGATGAGGAGGAGGAGGAGGAGGAGGAGGAGAAGGAAAAGTAGAATGAAAGGGAGGAGGAGGAGGAGGAGGAGGAGGAGAGGAGGAGGAGAGGGAGGAGGAGGAGGAGGAGGAGGAGGGGGGAGGGAGGAGGAGGAGGAGGAGGAGGAGGAGGAGGAGGAGGAGGAGGAGGAGGAGGAGGAGGAGGAGGGAGGAGGAGGAGGAGGAGGGAGGAGGAGGAGGAGGAGAGGAGGAGGAGGAGGAGGAGGAGGAGGAGGAGGAGGAGGACGAGGAGGAGGAGGAGGAGGAGGAGGAGGAGGAGGAGGAAGAGGAGGAAAAGGAAGAGGAGGAGGGCGTGCGGGAGCTAGAGAGGAGGGCGTGCGGGATCCTCGGTCCGCCATGCAGCGCGGCGTGGCGCTGCGCGGCGCCCGGCGAGGGCGGGCGGTGGCGCGGACCACGCGCGCCAGGGGCGGCGCCGGGCAGCCGCGCCCGGGGGGGGCCCCGCCCAAGGGGCTCGAGCCAAAATGGCTTCGTGTCGTGTCGACTGGCGGCGACCCAGAATCGTTCGATGTGGAACGATTTGGACGTTTCGGAAACGGCCGATCGTTCAAGGTTGAACGACCCCCGCGGTGTCAGAACGCAACGCCGAAGTCGGCACGACACGAACCTGACGTGCGCGGTCGGGCTCGGGTCGATTGGGCCCCCCCCAGACGGCCCAGAGGGCGGGAAGGCATCCCAAAGGGAGCCCCAAGGCGGCCCAAGAGGGCCTCAAGACGGCCCAGGAGGGCCCCACGAGGGCCCTGGGTGGCCCCAGGGGCCCCCAAGACTGCCCCACGGGAGCCTGAGAAAGGACGGCCGCGAGGGAGGAGTGCGACGGAAACGACAAGAGTAAACGAGAATCCCCCACGCGACGCGGAACGATATCTCACATCGTGAGGGCTCTCCCCAGCGTCGCGCACGGGAGGCACACGTGACCGCCTCCCGTGCGCCAGCCCCCCCTCCCCGAAAAAGAGTCGCTGCCCACCGCGGGGCGCTGGGTTGGCACGGTGGCGGGACTTGCCGCAGGCAGCTGGATCCGCCGCCCCCTGCTTGCAGGGGTGCACGGCGTGCTGGATGAGCTGGTTTTGGTTTTGGTACTTTTTCCAAAAGAACTCCCCAGTGGGCTCCGGCAGAACCCGCCGGCCACCCGGAAAATCCCCAAACGTGCTCAACGACCGGAACAAATCCTCCAAAAACGGCCGTTTCGCTCGGGACATCCTCAAAAAATCGCGAAGATGGCCCAAGATGGCCTCCAAGTCCGCCCGAGATGGTCCAAGACGGCCTCCAAAACGGCCCAAGAGAGTCCAAGACGGCCCAAGACGGCCCAAGAGGCCCCCCAGAGGCCTCCCAGACGGCCCAAGAGGCCTCCAAGAGGTCCTCCAGGAGAGTCCGAAGAGGCCAAAATCATTGATTTTCCCTTGGTTTTTGAAGGATTTTGGCATTTGCGCCTTTTCGGCTCTCCGACGGCTCAAGACGGCCCAAGAAGCCCCCAAGATCGCCCAAGAGGCCCCCAAGAGAGCCCCCTGATGGCCCAAGTGGCCTCCAAGATGGCCCCTAGAGGGCCCCAAGACGGCCCAAGAGGCCTCCAACACGCCCAAGATGGCCTCCAAGACGCCCAAGATGGCCTCCAAGACGGCCCTGGAGCGCCCCAAGAGGGTCCCCCGTTGGCCCAGAAAGGCCCCCAAAACGGCTCCCGACGGCGTCAGACGTGCCAGGAACCCACCAAGATGGCCGAAGTTGGCTCGAAGCTGGCCCAAAAGGGCCCAAGAGGCCCCCAAGAGGGCCTCCAGGAAGGCCAAAAGATGCCAAAATCACTGATTTTCCAAAGGTTTTTGATGGATTTGGGCATTTCCCTTTTTTCGGCCTTCCGACGGCCCGAGACGGCCCAAGAGCCCCCAAAGATCGCCGAAAGATCGCCCAAGAGGCCTCCAAGACGGCGACGATGACCATCAAGACGCCCACGTGTTCCCCGAAGGCTTTCCAAACCGATTCGGGGAACACATGGTCCGATGGCTTGGCAGGTCTGGCCTCAACGTTCGGCCACATAGGCGCTTCCACAAAGGCAGGGGGCGGCGGTGATTCGCCGTAGGCGTCTTCGATATTACACTCGAAGTCTTGCCATGGTCGATACTTCAGAGAAGGTGCGCTGGGGCGAAGAGGCCCTGCACACCTGAGGCTTAGCCTGAACGCGCATTCCTGTCTTTGTGGGGATGCTCCATCTCGCTGGGCCCACATCCAATTGTCAGTTCTTTTACCTAGGGAGAGTGGCCGCGGGGCGGGGGGAGGGAGGAGTGCGGCGGAGCGGAGTGGCGTGGAATGGACAGAAGGGAAGGGGAGGGGGAGAAGTGGATGGAGCGGAGTGGCGTAGCAGGCCATGGAACGGAGGGGAGGCGCGCGCAGAGGGGCGAGCGGGCGGGCGGGCGAGCGGGCAGGCAGACGCGCGGGCGGGGGCACGGTGTTGCGTGGCACTGCGTAACATTGCACTGCATTGCCTTGCGTTGCCGTGCATTGCATTGTATTGCATTGCATTGCACTGCATTGCGCTACATTGCACTGCGTTGCGTTGCGGTGCGTTGCGTTGCCTTGCGGTGCGTTTCACTGCGTTGCATGGCATCGCGTGCTGTTTCGTTGCACTGAGTTGCGCGGTGTTGCATGTGCTTTCCATTTGCCGTACGTTGCACGCTCGCCTCATGTCTGACGTTCTTCTCCTCCCTCCCATCCCTTACCATGTCGTAGATCTCCTCTCTGTTCGCACAGTCGGATGTCGACCAGGGCAGTGATCCCGAGAGGGTGCGCGATGCATCGTAGAGCACGGCATAGCAGGGCGTAGAAGAGCACGGCAGAGCGCAGTATGTCATAGCATGGCGTGACGTAGTGAGTAATTGAATCACAAAACATTGCAACGCAAATCATGGCATCGAACAGCGGCACATAACATAACAATGGCATAGCATGGCGCTGAAGAGCAAAGCGTAGCATGGCGTAGCTTGGCGTGGCACTGAGTAGTCAAGCACTGCATGTCCTAGCATTGCATCTGAAGGCATGGCATCGCACAGCGGAACGCCACATAGCATTGCATTGAATGCCATGGCATGACACTGGAAATAATGACGCCAACGATGCAGCGGGAGAAATATTCGGAACGAGCGGAAGCGCGGAAATGAAGCGGGAACACGATTCGGAACGAGCGGAAGCGCGAAAATGAGGCCAACGCTTCAGCGGGAACATTTTGACAAACCCAAGCGAGAACCCAATTACAGGGAATCCTGTGAACAAAAACTATCCTGGCGAAGGATTCAACCATATGAAATTGTGGGTACCGCAATTGTGAATATCTTCTTCGGTGAAGCTCCCTATGGGGCCACGAACCGCTGCACTGGGTGGGGGGGAACGCTGTATACTGGGTGGGTGGTGTGCCAACTTGGGTTTCCGGGACGCATGCGGACGGTCCCACTGAGGACTTCGGTGGAGCTTCTTAGGGGATCGCGAGACGTTGTACTGGGTGGGTGAAACTGCCATATTGGATGTTTCGGGACGCTTGCGGACGGTCCCACTGGGGTCTTCGGCGGAGCTCCCTATGGGGCCACGAAACGCTGTACTGGGTGAATGAAAATGCCAAAGTGGGCGTTTCGGGACGCATGCGGACGGTCCCACTCGGGGCTTCGGTGGAGCTCCCTATGGGGCCACGAAACGCTGTACTGGGTGTTTCCGAAACGCATGCGGACGGTCCCACTCGGACCTTCGGTGGGGCTCCCTATGGGGCCACGAAGCGCTGTACTGGGTGGGTGAAACGCAGAGAGGGGGGGGAGGAGGGCCACGAAACGCTGTACTGGGTGTGCGGGACGCATGCGGACGATAGCACTCGGACCTTCGGTGGGGCTCCCTATGGGGCCACGAAGCGCTGTACTGGGTGGGTGAAAAGCAGGGAGGAGGGGGAGGAGGGAAGAGGAGGGAGGAGGGGGAGGAGGAGAAGGAGGAGAACGCGGGGCGCTGTCTCTTCAAAACGAGGACCCAACACCACAGGATGGTTGGGAACAGTGCGCGGAAGGGGGCCGAACATCTTCCGGACGTCATCAGGGGAGAGAGGAGAATAGTGCTCATATTGTGTCATTGTGGAGTGGGAGGAGGGCGGATGGGGGAGGAGGGAGGGGATGCAGGAGGGAGGATGGAGGAGGAGGAGGGAGGGAGAAGGACGAGGAGAACAGGATCGTATGTTTGTTCGCCTTCCTGAACCCCGTCATCGTCGTCGTCGTCGTCGTCGTCGTCGTTGCATAATGTTTTTGTTCGGCCCCAACGGCGCTGCCACGTGACGCGTTGCATTGCATTGCATTGCATTGCGTTGTGCTGCATTGCTTTGCATTGCATTGCTTTGTATTGCTTTGCATTGCATTGCATTGCATCCTGTTGCGTTGCGTTGCATTGCGCTGCGCTGCATTCGCATTTGTTGCAGTGATTTGCATTGCAGTAGATTGCGGGCGAGGGGAAGGAGGATAGGAGGGAGGAGAAGGTAGGAAGGTAGAGATGAGAGGAGGAAGGATGAGGAGGAGGAGGAATGAGGAGGGAGGAGGGGAGAGGAGGGGAGGGGAAGGAGGGAGGAAGGAGGAGAACGGCGGGAAGAGGGAGGATGGAGGAGGGAGAAGGGAGGGGGGAGGAAGAAGAACGAGGAGAACAGGATAGAATTCTGGTTCGCCTCCCTGGCCCTCGTCATCATCATTGTCATCGTCGTCGTCGTTCTCGTCGTCGTCGTCGTCGTCGTTGTCGTCGTCGTCGTCGTGGCAGAATGCTTTTGTTCAGCCCCCGCGGCGCTGCCGCGTGACGACTGGAACGGAATACCTTTCCTTCGCGCCTCCAGGCGTTGCCACGTGGCGAGTGGCGTGGCAGAACGTCTTCCTCGGCCCCCGCGGCGTTGCCGCGTGACGGATCGAGTGGAGTCGCATCTGTGCGTCCCTCCCCCGCGGCGCTGCCACGTGGCAAGCAGAGCGGGATGCTGTTTCTTGGCGCCCCCAGGCGTTGCCGTGTGGCGCATCGAGTGGGACAATCTCTGTTCCGGCCTCCGCGGCGCTGCCACGAGACGAGGAGAGTGGCGCCGCCGCGTGGCGGCCACCCAACCAGCCAACCTGCCTACCCTGCCGACCGACCAGCCACCGGCCAACCAATCGGCCAACCAACGATCCCGATGCGTTGCATTGCATTGCATTGCACTGCGTTGCATGTGCAGTGCCCTTGCAGCACGTTGCATTGCAACAAACTGCGAGCGAGGGGGGGAGAGGAGGGGGGAAAAGGGAGGTAGGTAGAGAGGAGGGGGGGAGGAGGAGTGAGGCGAAAGGGGGGGCGAGGAGGGGAGGGGGAGGAGGTAGGGAGGGGGAGGGAGGAAGGAGGAGGGAGGATGGAGGAGGGAGAAGGAACGGTGGAGGCAGAAGGACGAGAAGGAGCATGGGGATAAAATTTTGGTCCGCCTCCTTGGCCCTCGTCATCGTCGTCGTCGTCGTCGTCGTCGTCATCATCGTCGTCGTCCTGCCACGTCGCTGTCCTGGTCGCCGTCCTCGCGGCATAATGTTTGTTTCGGCCCCCGCGTCGCTGCCACGTGACGACTATCGTCGGGGCTGGATAGACCTCACTTTAGTAAACCTCCCCTCAGTGACATGTACCGGGGGCCGCCCCTCCGAACGTTGCCCCGTGCCCCCAGCTCGCTCCTCCGACTCTCGCCCCAACAATCTCGAATGGGACTGGGCCGACGTGGACCCGAAGCCGGAGCGCCCTCGCCCGGCGGAACCAGGCCCGCCAGTCCTGTACGTGTCGAATCACACGCTGGTGGGGGGCGGCCAGTGGCTTCGCTGCACCACCTGCGGCAGGTCGGCCAAGGCCCCAGGCCCGCGTCGTCACCTCTGGCATTCCCAATGCCAGCCCAGGCCGTGAGAGCTCGCTCGCCGGCGGGATAGAAGCGCGGCCATAACGAGCGGCAACTCGTCCACGGCAGCAGCAGCGGCCATGGCAGTAGTGACAGCCGCGATGGGGGCCACTGTCATGGGCCACGCCAGCGGCGGGCAGGAAGCGCCACACCATGAGATGAAGCACAGGGTGGAGCAGCATCACGGATACTGCGTGTGCGTGGTGTGGAAGGCATTCCAAGGTGTGCGTGCGGCTCCTGGCTCGGGAGTGCTGCGGCCCGCTGGAGCCCCGCGGCAAGAGCGAGGGATGACGCGCGTCGCCGGCCACGGGATCGCATACGTGGAGGTTTGCACCCGAAGATGGGCAATGCCCTGGGGCGCTTAGCCTCTCCCGCCTGCGGGAGCGGAGTGGCGGAGAGATAATAGTCTGGTCTGCGCGCCTCTTCCCTCCACCCTCAGGGCCCTCAGGGGCGTGCGCGTGCCGAGGGGCGACACGAGCGTGGATTGGCCTCTCGATTCGGTCGGCAAGTCTAGCGAATTACAAAAAAAATCCATCCCCCCCTCCCCCCATGCATCCAAGTTGGGGAAGAGAGCCCCAAGGTGGAGTCGAGAGCTCTAGGCCAGCTTCAAGCCACGGGCTGCGCGACCCCCATCCTCCAGGATGGGGTCGTGAGCTTCGGGATGTGGTCATGAGCTCCACGACAATGAGGACGATCGAGGATCCACGACGACGATCGACGATCGAATAACCTGTGAGCTTACAAGAAATGGGAACAATCGCCTCAAAATCTGCTCACATATTGCCCACACCGATTGGCCGCACCGACTAGCTTGGCCAAGCTGAAGCCCACCGATTGGCCACGTAGGCGCTGCCAAAAAAAGCAGGTAGCGGCGGTGGCTCGCCGTAGGCGTATTCGATAATGCAAAAGCCACGGCGAGAATGATTGTTAAGTCTTTGCGATCGTTGTACGCCGACGCACGCAAATATAACACTTACAGTAATGGTTACCTACTGCATCGCGACTGCGACGCAGAACAACGGAGCGGATCACGACTGTGACGAGCAACCACAATGGCGCCCTTCCCTCCTCCGTCCTCCGACCTCCTCCCACCTCCCTCCCCCTACCGCCAAACTCCTCCTACCTTCTCCTACCTCATCCTATCTTCTCATAGCCACCTCTCGTCCTCCATCTTTGCCTCCCCTCCTCCCTCCATGCATCCCTCCCTCCTGCCATGCCGCCTCCTTATGCATCGCCTCCTTCCTCAACGCATCCCTCCCTTACTGGAGGTATCGAGGAGCACGGAGAAGGAGGACGAGGGAAATAAGAACGATGGCCAGGAGCACGAGGGAGGGGCGGCGTAGAGGGAGGATGAGGACCCTCCACCCTGCCTCCCCGAGGCCACGGGTGGTGTACCAGTGGGCCACGGGTGCACCCGAGAAGCGACTTCGAGTGTACCAGGGGCACGTCACTAATCGACGTGCAAAAAATGCTGAATGTATCCGGCAAAACAGACGTCGATTAGCGAAACCGACGAAGGAGTGCACCGGTGCACTCCGAAAGCGGTGGCAGAGTGTACCGGTGAACTCGGAACCCGGTTCCGAGTGCACTGGTGCGCTCTGCCACCGGTGACGGGTGCACCAGTGGAATCGGATGTCGCCCGATGGGCCGGTGGTGCCATTGACGCCCCGAGCCTGCGGCGGTGGTGCCAAGTCCTCAAACAACCTCGACGCTCCCAAATGGGCGAAAGCCCAGTGAGAATCATAAGCACCACCGTCGGCACGACCATTGGGGCCCCAAGAGGAGCCCCGAGAGAAGCTCAAGATGGCCCCAAGAGGGCCCCAAGACGCCTCTGTAATCATGGTGCCCTCTTGGGGCCCTCTGGGGGTCCTCTCGGGACTCCCCGATAGGGCTCCAAGACGGCCCATGAGGCCCTAAGAGTGCCCATGGGGGGCGGCCTGAGAGGAGCCCCGAGAGGGGCCTAAGATTGCCCCAAGAGGGCCCCAAGACGCCTCCATGATCATGGAGCCTTCATGGGGCCCTCTGGGGGACCCTCTCGGGACTCCCCGATAAGGCTCCAAGAGGGCACACGAGGCCTCGAGTGCAGAAGGGGCCCTCCCTCTAAGGCGCGCGTCTCCTCCCTCCCTCCTCTCTCCTCCCTCTGCAGCCCCCAGGGGCTTTCGTGCCCCTTCAAGACGGGCGGGTGGCGGGGCCGATGGGTCGCAGGCGGGTCGCGAAGCGGGCGTCGCAGGCGCCGCGCCCATCCGCCCGCGCCCTAACTCTTATCCGCAGTTGCAGGGTGCTACGTATTCCTGGCGACTGCTTCTCCCCAGCCCGAGCTCCACACCACTGCTTGGGGCACTACCGCCTCTCAGGGACTTCCCAATCGCCGCGAGCACTCAAGATGATGGCAACTCCGACGCAAGAAAGGTTGGCCGAGTGCGCGAGGCGGTTGGATATTGGCAGGGACACAAGTTTAGCGGGCCAAACGACAGAATGAGCCAGCCAACGCGGACTGGGCGACAACTGAAACACCCAGAAATCCCATGGGCGACATTACCGATTGCCACAAGCGCTACTGGCTGGCGAATGTACTCACGATCTGCTCACATAGGCAACTGCTCGAAGTTCCCCCGAAACGCATCGCCGATGGCCCCTGTGGCAGCGGGCCTCCAAACCCCGCTCAATCAAGGCAAAAGGGTCGTAGTGAGGGAAGGAACCGTGCGAAACTAGGGCGCCCGTGTGTTTCAATGCCGTACACTGAACGTGCCAGATCGGCGATGCGATGGGGGGTAGTAACAGGGCGAAGGAGGAGACAGATGATAACCACAATTGTAGACTTACGCCATTCACTAACGAACGCTAGACCTATTGGCGCGCGATGCGCGTCGAGAGTAGCACAGTTGACATGCGTAACCCTCTTTAATGGGTAGTTCGTATTGTGCGCATGAGAATGCGATTGCCTGATGGGCCCCCCTATTCTGGCCACAGCCCTTCCACATCTTACTACAATTTGCTTGCACGCCCCCCTTGCCTCTGCGCCAGGCGGGACGGGCGCGGGCCTGCGTTCCACTTGCAAGAGATGTCCTAGCAACTGCAACGTCCATGTTTTGAATTTGATTTATTGCGCGTTTGCGCGCGACGCCTCGACGACCGCTGCAACCAGTACGACGCCAACGCACACGAGGCGCGACGGTGCGAACCCATGCAAGTTTGAAAAAAATAAATCAAGGTCCCAGGACAATTCCTCAATCGACTTGTCTGGGTGGGAGGTCTGTCCGGGCCCGATATCGGCGGCGAGCGAGAGGTGGAAGTGAGAAAGAAAAGGCCTTCTCAGAGGGCGGCGGGGCTTCTCAGAAGCCCTCTCGCCTTCTGCGAATTTTTCTGCGTCTTCGGGGAAGGCTAGGAACAACTCTCAGAAGGCTGGGGGACTTCCGAGCCTTCTGAGAAGAACCGCCCCTTCTCACTTCCCCCCCCGGCTCGCTGCCGAGACCAGACTTGAATACAATTTCTTCGCGCCTACAGGCGTTGCCACGTGGCGAGTGGAGTGGCGTAGTATTATAGTCGGCCCCCGCGGCGTTACCACGTGACAAATAAAAAGAAATCACATTTGTTGTTGCGCCCCCGGCGCTGCCAGGAGACAAGCAGAGTGCATGGAATATAGTTTCTTCGCGCCTCCATGCCTTGCCACGTGGCAAAAAGAGGGGGTTAGTGCTTGTTTTCGGCCCCCAGCGGCGTTGCCGCGTGACGAATATAGTGGAATCAATCCGCCGGCCCCCTTGTGGGGCCACCAGGCTGCGAGGCGCGTGATTCGCAGTTTCCTGTACCAGTTGTAGTTTGTAGTTTCCAGTGTTAGAGTTCTGCTTCTTGCTGGTTACTGTAACTAGTTGACTTCTTGCTGGTTACTGTAACTAGTTGATTGACCGCGCGAGGGGGGGGGAGGCCCAAACGGGATTTTTAGCGTCTCCTGGGCGCGTTGTCTGAATTGCTGGGGGGGCTCGAAATCGACACCCCTCACGCAGATCCGCGGGGTCAGGGTCCAAAAACACAGGGATTTGCCACATTTCTGAAATTCGGTGCCACCCCTCACGCAGATCCGCGGGGTCAGGGTCCAAAAACACAGGGGATTTGCCACATTTCTGAAATTCGGTGCCACCCCTCACGCAGATCCGCGGGGTCAGGGTCCAAAAACACAGGGGATTTGCCACATTTCTGAAATTCGGTGCCACCCCTCACGCAGATCCGCGGGGTCAGGGTCCAAAAACACAGGGGATTTGCCACATTTCTGAAATTCGAACCCATCACGCACATCCATCGCAAGGCGTGGTAACCCAAACTGCGAGAACTCCCTCGGCCCTTTAATCGCAAGGTGTGGTAACCAAGCCCTTAAACCATACACGTCTTACCAATCGCCAGGTGTGGTAACCCCTCTTGTGATCAGTTGGTTTTGCTGATTGCGACTCGGCTTCGCATGAAGTTTCGATACTGCTTCACGACAGCGCCAAGGCCTCATGACTTAGCTCTTCCATGGCCCATTCTCCGAGAGAGGGGGCCGGCGGCAGGGGGCGAAGCCCTTACGGATAATATTGTTGCTGCGCCCCGCCAGGCGGTGTCACGTGTCAAATCGAGTGGACTAGTATTTTTCTCAGCCCCCGCGGCGCTGCCATGTGACGAGAAGAGTGGACTAGTATTTTGTCGCCCGCCAGGGCGTTGTCATGTGGCAAGTGGAGTGGGAAGTCTGTTTTTCGGCCCCACGGCGCTGCGACGTGACGAGGCGCACATTGTGTTACAGTGCATTGCATTGCAGTGCATTCATTGCGTTGCGTTGCATTGTCTTGCATTGCAATGCGTTGCATTGCGCTGCATTGCGTTGCGTTGCACTGCATCGCGTTGCATCCTTTTGCGTTGCATTGCGTTGCGCTGCATATATGCATTGCAGTTGCAATGCGTTGCATTGCAATAAACTGCGGGCCAGGGGGGGGAGTAGGACAGAGAGGGAGCAGAAGGGAGGAAAGTACAGAGAAAAGGGTGTGGAAGGAGGAGGAGTGAGGAGGGAGGAAGGGGGAGGAGGGGAAGGGGATTGGAGGGGAGAAACGGGCAACCACCTGGGCAATTATGCGACCAGCTACCCAGACAAGCTACCAACCAACCCGCCGACGAACCACAAACCAATCAATCAACCAATCAACCAACGAACCAACCGCCCAACCCAATCACCCCATCGCCTTGGAAAAAAAACGGAAACCGGTGAGCCAACCAGCCATCCAACCAATCAACCAACCCACCAACCAACCAACCGCCCAAACAATCAACAACCAATCGACCAACCACCAACCGACCGCCGCCAAACCAACCAACCAACCAACCAACCAACCAACCAACCAACCAACCAACCAACCACCCCAAGAACAAATTTTCTTGACCCGGAATCCGGCAAGCCGACCGGCCAACCAGCCCACGAACCGACCAATCCTTTCCAAAGGATATCCAGAGAGCGTCCCACACGGCGGGTCCTGGAATTTGTTGACCAGCAAATTTCTTTGACCTTGCAAGGAAAATAGACCCAGCAATCCGCGAGCGAATCAGCCAACCAACCAACCAACAAACCAGTTCTTCTGGACCGGTTGGTTGGTGGGTTGGAAGGACCTTTGTTGACATGGCCAAATTTTCCAGACTGAAATTTTGACCTGGTTTATTTTCCCCCTTGAAATAACACTGCATTGGCCCTGAAAGGAAAAATTGCCCTTATCCATCCTTAGGGCTCCCGTCCTTGAAGGCCCCATCCTTTCGAAACTCCTGCACGAAGAACCCGGAACAGGGAACGGAACCCCTTGCCGGCCCCTGCTGCGCCCAGATTGCACGAGGGGCGCCCGAGGAGACGCCCGAGAGAAGGACCCGTTAGATGCGGCCAAGGGGTCTGCGCTGGATTGGCCCTGAGACAATCAGTCAAGACGGGGGATCAGGGCAAATCCGCTCAAAACTGGCGATTTGTTTTCAATTTTGGCTGTCTCTTGCGAATCGTAACCGACGCTAGTGGAAGCTGACCAAGACCAGTCGACGATTTTTTGACGTTAGCCGGCGCCAAATCGGCGCTCTCTCACCGACTACCAGACGCTAGTGCACGTGAATGCGTTCTAGAGACTGCGTCTCGAGGACGTGCAAAAGCTCCGATGCCTTGCTACCGAAGGGACCGGCTCAGGGGGGGAACCATCGAGCTGGCTTCGGCGATACTTACAGCGCCGGTGCAATCACCCTCGAAATCAGACGCAAGTTTCTAATGGTGGCCGACGCGCGAAACGCGGCCCACGGGGTGAGATTTCTGCGCGTTGCAGACGCCAGTTTGGCCACGGACGTGAACAATTTGGGGCCCGGGGCGCCGCCACGTCGCGGGAACGAAGGATTGCAACAAAAACAAAGGATTGCCCAAAAAACGAAGGATTGCAATCCTTCTTGAACGGAGGATTGCAAAAAAAACCCTTGAACGAAGGATTGCAAAAAAACCCTTGAACCGAGGTTTTTTTTGCAATCCTGCTCGCGTTTGACTTCGCGCGGGGACGCGGGCCCCCGATAGCGATGCCGCACGCTCCTGGGCGGGCGGGCTGCCCGGCCCCCGAAGTGGGCGGCTGGGGTTCGACCCCCCTCCGCCAGCCCCCCTCTGTGCCAGTCCCGCCGCCGCCGTCCTCGCCCTCGTCCTCGTCGTCGTCCTCGTCCTCGTTGTCGTCGTCGTCGGCGTCGGCGCTGGCGTCGGCGTCGGCGTCGTCGTCGACGTCGCCAGCGCCGTCACCGTCGAAGCCCCCGGCGCTGCCTCTCCACGGAAGGCGCGGGGCGCGCGCGCGTACGCGCACGCGCGCCGCGGGGCGCGCGCGCGCCGCGCGCGCCGCGGCGGGCACCGCCTGGTTCTCTCGGGCGCTCCCGCCCGCGTCCCACAAGCGCGCCTGCTTGTCCCGGGACACCTCCGCACCGCGCGCGGGCGCGCGCGCGCGCGGGCGCGCGCGCGCGCGCGCACGGGCGGGCGCCTGCCCTCGGCGGCGAGCCTCGGGGGGAGGGGGGAGGGGGAGGAGGGAGGAGGGAGGAGAGGAGGAGGGGGAGGAGAGGAGAGGAGGAGAGGAGGAGGGAGGAGGAGGGAGGAGGAGGAGGAGGGAGGAGGAGGAGGAGGAGGAGGAGGAGAAGGAGGCGGAGGAGGAGGAGGAGGAGGAGAAGGATAACGAGGAGAAGGATAAGGAGGAGGATGAGGAGAAGGATGAGGATGAGGATGAGGATAAGGAGGAGGAGGCGGAGGAGGAGGAGGAAGAGGAGCCGGAGGAGGTCTTCTCAGAAGGCTCGGCAGTCCCCTGGCCTTCTGAGAGGCTTGCCGAGCCTTCCCCTGAGGCACCAACAACTTCCCACAGTCGCGAGGGGGGCTTCCGAAAAGCCCCGCCGCCTCCCGAGGAGGCCTCCTTCCTTCTTCTCCTTCCCGCCCCTCGCCCGCCGCCGACGCCCATCCGTGGCTCCTCCGACGCCGGGCACGCTCGGTCAGGGCGTGGAGCTGTGAGGGTCCCCGCTCGGCAAGGGTCGAGGAGGGGATCGACTGCAGAATGGATTTGCCCGAAAACGGATTCTACCCATCGAAGCTACGACTAAGGCGTAAAATGCTCGTGTAAGATTCGACGAGAACCTTCATTCTGGGGTAGATCACTTCTGTAGTCGATCCCCTACTCGAAAGGGAGGCGGCGAGACCAAGCAGCCACTCTCGACCGGACACCTCGGCGGGGCAGAGAATGGCCGTGGGAGCGTGCAGCAGCCAGCCGGGCCACGGGAGAGCGAGAGGGACTCACCGTGGCCACGGGGCCCACGGCACAAGCCTGGCCAGACAGACTCTCTCCATGTCTTTCTCTCGCGCTCACTCTCTCTGTCTCTCTTTGTCTCTGTCTCTGTCGCTCTCTCTCTCTCTCTCTCTCGCCCTCTCTCTATATACGTGCCCACATATACATATACACATACACCGAAATCTATATATATATATGCATACGTGCCCACATATACATACGTACACGCATACAGACAGACATTCAGACAGACAGACAGACAGACAGACAGACAGACAGACAGACAGGCAGGCAGGCAGACAGACATGCAGGCAGGCATACATACAGACAGACATACGTACAAATATAATCACATGCGTATATACATATGCAGTTGTCTACGTATATGATTATACTTAAACCTGCACGCTCGAAGCGCATACACAAATAGATGAACACCCCGTGTTCTTAGCAAACTCGTCGTGCACATCCACCACTGTGCCCCGAAGCAAGACATGGAATGCCCAAGGACCCACAGCCTGGAGTCTCTGGCGCTACTGGGGGCTTCTGGGGTTGTGTTGCGTGTCCCCGCGTGACTTTTCCAGAGAAGATGCCAAGACGGCCCAAGAGTGCCCCGAGTCACAAGAAAATCGCTCCAAGGCGCTCAAGATGGCTTCCATCCGGCCCAAGAGGCTCAGAAGACGCCCCGAGAGGACACGAAGAGGTCCCCCCAAGGGGGCCCAGAGATACCAAACTCATGAATTTTGCCAGAAGAAGCAGGCCGCGACCGCAGTGGAGCGCACAGGGACGCCACGACGCCCGGAGCAGCTCAGAGAGGCCCCTCGGGAGCATGGGGGCGGGAGGAGTGCAGCACCAGCTGACACACGGGACCATCCAATTCACATGCACAACTCGGCGATTAGCACTCGCCCCCCCGATTCGTCGGGGTCGTTGGGTACGAGTTTCCTCCTAACATCAGGAGCCCGCTGGTGGAAAAGGGTGCCGCACTTCCCGCAGTGAAGGCAGTCGGGCGGGAGGAGGGGGAGAAAGAGGAGGCGGAGGAGAAGGAGGAGGAGGAGGAGGAGGAGGAGGAGGAAGAGGAGAATGAGGAGGAGGACGAAGGGGTGGAGGAGGAGAAGGAGCAGGATGAGAAGGAGGAGGAGGAGGAGGAGGAGGAGGAGGAGGAGGAGGAGGAGGAGGGGGTGGCGCTGGAGTGGATGACGAAGACCCACTGAGGCATTACTCCCCTCATCCCGCCGCCCAGCGAGGCAATTGGTCAACCTTGTGTTGCTATTGCTGTCAATCTGTCAGCTTGACGGGAACTTTGGAAGCTTCCGTAGCCAACACCTCCCCACCAACACAAAGAAACGGGATCCAGAAACCCTGGATCCAAAATTATTGGCCTCTCTTCAGTGGACTTACTGACCCGGATCAATCCAAACCTTGGTTCATCGGGCTTTGCAAGATCCTGCAAGATCCCGCAGAATCCTGCAGGATCCTGCACGCAAGCCCTGGTCAATGCAACCCTGGCTCTGCAAGATCCTGCAAGACCTGGCTCTCTGGCGGACCCCCGTTTGCATTGATCCCCCGTTCCTTGAGCCTCGATTTCGGGCGCATCTTCACCTTCTGGCAGGCACTTCCCGCCGGCGGACCCACCTCCGTCTTGCTCCCTAAAACAAGGCTAGGATCGAGATAAATCGCTCCAGAGCGTTCTGGAGCGCTCTCAGAGCGTTCTGGAACGCTCTGGAGCGGCCGCGGCGCCCAATACATCCTCCAAACCCGCCGATTCTCAGAGATTTCGAATTCTGCCGATCCGATGTTGTCCCGATCTTCGCGTCGTTTTACACCTCCGCTTTGCTCCCGCACGCTTCCGCCGATCTTCCGCCGCCCTCCGCCGGGCAAGGAGGTGCCCACGCGCTCGGCCCCTCGAGGGCGAGGCCTCTGCTGGAGCGCCCCGCCGGCGGACCCTCAAAGAAGCCGCCGCGACCCCCTGCGGGCAGAGAGATCGACGCGGCCGCCGGCCCCGCGCGGAGGGGTGCGGGGGCACCGTGAGGGCCCACTCGCCGTGGCCTCGGCGCGCAGGGCTTGCAAGGGAAGCACGCACGCCAGCCGCAGCAGTCGGGTCGGGCGAAAGGGGGGGGGGGATAAGCAAAGAGCCGCAGCAATCGGGTCGGGCGAAAGGGGGGGGATAGCAAAGGGCCGCAGCAATCGGGTCGGGCGAGAGGGGGGGATAGCAAAGAGCCGCAACAATCGGGTCGGGCGAAAGGGGGGGATAGCAAAGAGCCGCAGCAATCGGGTCGGGCGACAGGGGGGGGATAGCAAAGGGGATGGGGGTTTGAGAATCAGCTCACGTATAGCTGACTTTCCCGGCGCCTCCCGGCGCCGGAGGCGGCTACCGTATCGAGGAATGGGCCCCTCGGTGGGGCCGAAACCAGCTGCATGCAGCACATTTCGTAACCCCCCCTTTCCCGATCCCCCCCTTTCGTTCGGCCCGAAGCAACTCCATGTTTTCTCCAGCCAGGGCCAGCGACCTGCTGCCGGCCCGCCCTTGTAGCGAGTCGCGCCAAAGCATGGTGGCCCAGAACCCGCGGCGCAACACGCTGAGAAAGCGTTCCTGACCGTGGGTGCTGGGGCCCTACTCTCGGGCGGGGAACTTGGGGTCAGTCGCCAAGCCGTCCTCACGATCGACCATCCCAAAGGCAGGACGCTTCTGGGCGGGATTACTGGGGCAACCGCCAACCAGTCCCCACGATCGACCACACCGCGGGCGGGACGCTATGGGCGGGACGCTGTTGGCGGAACCAGCCGGACCACACGATCGACCACCCTGTGGCAGGGGCACCATTGGCAATAACCAACGGGCCCCTGCGAACGAACATTTCATAGGCAGAGCCCTGCGGCTTCACTATTCTCCGCCACGAGCTCCTCCGTCAAGCACGGCTCCGTGAGCTCCAAGCAAGGCTGCACGGAAATGGCACCCCTCAAGCAATACCTCCCCCAAAACGCCTGGCGCTTTCGCCCATGCCCCGCAATCTCCGAAGGGTTGCCGAGGACCCGCCGCGTCAACTGTCGTGGCTTTCAGGGCGGTCGACGGTATGCGTTCTACGGTGTCGCTTAGACGCTGTACCGGACCCATCCCCTGGGGGCTTCTATGCCTCCCCTCACTCGTCTCCACTCCTCCCCACCATTCGTCACCGCTCTTTCCTCATCCAAGCTCCCTTCCCTTCCTCACCTTCCCCCCCTCGTCCTAATCCTCCTCCTTTTCCTTTTGTTCGCTGGAGCGGACCGCGCGCCACTGCCGCACGATCCTCACGAAACAGACTCGACCGAACCAATGCAAATCGACACTGCTCCTGAGAATCCGAATCCGAGCCTCCAGCTGCGTCGCTCTCCTGGCCCCCCCCTCCTCGGCCTCCTTCTTCTCCTCCTCCTCCTCCTCCTCCTCCTCCTCCTCCTCCTCCTCCTCCTCCTCTTCCTCCAACATTCAATCGGAGGATCTCTGGGTGGCCGGCGTCGGCGTCGTCGGCGTCGACGTCGACGTCTTCGTCGCCTTCGTTGTCGTCGTCGGTGTCGGCGCCGAGGTCTTCTTCGTCGGGGAACGGGGATGGGGAGGACCAGGGGGAGGACTCGTCTTCTATTTCTCCTCCTCCTCCTCCTCCTCCTCCTCCTCCTCCTCCCACCCTTGGTCCTCACCCTCCCCACTCTCCAACGCGGACGATGACGGCCTCGACACCAGCGACGACAACGAAGGCGGCGAAGACGTCGCAGACGACGCCGACGCTGACGCCCCAAACATCCTCCGACTTGTGTTTTGTTCCATCCGCGGCCCCAGACGTCCCGATCCATCCCTTGGAGGCCATTTTTCGCCTCGGCTCCGTTTCTGCTGGTCCTGGGGCTTGACAACAGGCCCCAGGGGCCGAGTTCGAGGAAAACCTGCGGGATTGAAGCGACCATGCCGCCGGAAACCGGGTGGCGACGTCGACGCCGCCGCCGCCCTCCGCGCCGCTTCCGAGGGCCGCCGAGGGCCACCGAGGGCCGCCCGAGGGCCGCCGAAGGGCCGCCCAGGGCCAGCCGCCGAGGGGGCCGCCGATGGGGGCGCCGGCCGAGCCACGGGCTGGTGCCCGCCGGGCACCAGGCGGCGGAGCTGACCCAGTCGGTGTGGCCGTGGAGGCACGCGACGCGGGCCCCTGCCGCCGGGGGGGAGGCGAAAGAGGGCGATGATGATGATGAGGATGAGGATGAGGAGGATGAGGATGATGAGGATGAGGATGAGGATGAAGATGAGGATGCTGATGGTGGTGATGATTAATGATGACGGTGGTGGTGATGATGATGGTGGTGGTGATGAGTAATGATGGTGGTGGTGGTGATGATGACGACGACGATGATGATGCTGAGGATGAGGATGAGGATGAGGATGATGATGATGATGATGATGAGGATGATGATGAGGATGATGATGAGGATGAGGATGATGATGAGGATGAGGATGAGGATGAGGATGAGGATGATGATGATGATGATGATGATGATGATGATGATGATGAGGAGGACGAGAAGGAGGAGAAGCACGAGGGGGAGGCCACGCAGGCCTCCTCCCCCCCTTCCCATTTCGTCCTCTCCCATCCTCCTCTGGCGTTCTTCCTCATCAACAACTCCTCCCTGGCGCACCCCCAGACGTGTCTGTAGGGCGGCACGGGCGTGTCGCCTGACACTTTATCACCGTGTCTGATTCAGAAGCTTGAAATTTGCAAGCGTTTCAAAGATGGAGGGCGGGTGGTTTTCAAACCATGGCTTTCGCCTTGGCGACGCGCGCAATCGTGTTTTAAATTCGCAACGGTTTCAACAACGACGGGCGGGTCCTCTTCCAAATGTGACTCCCGCCCTAGCGCCGCGCATCTTCGTTATGAGCGTTTGCAGCAATTTCAAACATGGAGGGCGGGTCTTGTTCCAAATCTGGCTCTCGCTTTTGCGCCGCACACATTCGTATCTTCAATAATGGAGGGCGGGTCCTGCTCCAACGATTTGCTCTCGCCTCAACGCCGCGCACATTCGTCTTGACGTATTGCAGCACTTTAAAAGAGGGAGGGAGGGTCCTTCTTTCACAGCGGCCCTCGCTGTAGCGGCGCGTACATTCGTCTTGAACGTTTGCAGCAATTGTTGCCTCAGCTCCAGATATGGAGGACGGGCCCTCTTCGAAGTGTGGTTCCTGTCTTAGCACCGCGCACATTCGCCTCAATCATGTGCAGCATCTTCAAGGATGGAGGGCGGTTCCTTTTCCAAATGGGGGTCTCGCCCAAGCGCCGCGCGCACCCGTCTTAAACTTGCCCAGCAATTTCGGGTCCTTCACGTTGAGATCCAACGAATATTGCGCTCTGGTGCGATTCCAGATCGTCAGGGCGCAGCAGTCACGTGGAACTGCGGTCCTGAAATCCCGGAACGGTGGTATGGCGCGAGTCAGGATTATCAGCACGCAACAATCACTCGCGGCGTTGAAGTCCCAGGAGTGGCGTTCTGGCGTGATCCAGGGTCCGCAATTAAAAGATATTGTGCGAAACTATGGAGAAGGAACTTGGAGGAAAGGTTTATTGTACAATCGATGATACGTCTTGGGTTTGCACTGGTCCTCCTCCTCCTCCTTTTCCTCCTCCTCCTCCTCCATCCCTTGTCCTTATAAATATCGCTCTCCCTGTCGCACCCCTAGACGGGTCGGCAGGGTGGGCCGGGCGTTTCGCCTGAACTTCATCACCATTTGTGGTTCTGGAGCTGAGGTTTTGCAACAGCCTCACGAATCAGGGCTGGCCGTTTTCACAATGTGGCTCTCGCCCTGAGCCCTGCGCGCAGTCCCTCTACCACTTTGCAAGAATGCAGGCTGGTAAAAAAAAAGACTATGGATCGCGCCGCAGCGCCGCATCGATGGAGAGCTTCGCGGGTGGGCGGCGGGCCGTTTTTTTCTCAATACGGCTACTCGCCATAGCGCCAGGCGCACTCGTCCTGGCCATCGCTCGGACGTCCATTTCCTGTTTTTGTTGGTTTCGTGCGTGGTTTTTTTCGCCAAACGATCAAGGATGCTCCTCGATGGCCCTCGCCGAAGGAAAAATGCACACGTCCGAGCGATGCCAAGCGTCTTAAAAACTTGCAAAAGTTTCACTCATGAACGGCGGCTCTCTTTCAATATCGGCTCTCGCCTCAGCGCCGTGCTCATTCGCCTTCGGTGCTTGCGTCCGTTTCAAAGATTTTCACGGCTGGCGA